ATCATTATTATTATTATTATTATTATTATTATTATTATTATTATTATTATTATTATTATTATTATTATTATTATTATTATTATTATTATTATTATTAAATAATGAATTTAGAAGTTTTAATGTCATATTTTTCATGTCATGCTATTTAAAAAGCATTGATAAAATTGAACCGGTGAAACCTTACTCTCCTGAAAAATGCTGATTCAATAAGCCGGCAAACAATTAATTCAATTCTCCAATCTTCGTGAGCGACTGACGAAATTAAACACGATTCTCTGCGCACGCTGCTACGAGTTGCATCGTGTCCACCTCCCCTAAGACCATCGGTAATATGTGCCTGGCGTTAGAGTACACACCAGGGGTGGCGCCAGCGGGTTTGGAGGTGGGGGAGGGGGGAGTGTCGGCGCCAGGGCCCCCGTCGGGGAGAGCTGGCCACAAAAACCACAATTCGTCGGGGAGAAAACAAAATTTACATGTATTTTCTACATATTAGTGGACCCTGTAACCGATTAAATAAGCCTTTAAAAAACCCTAAATTGTCATTATTTTTCGGGGAACTTCGCCCCCTAGAATACTTTCGAGAGATTTAGAGCGACGCCCGACCACGCCCATTTTTATTTTTGTCAGTGACATCGCCACCCCACCCCCGTCGGGAAAAATTCTGGCGCCACCACTGGTATACACGGGTAAGATGTGTGCAATCTGTTAAGACTGTAAATATCGGCAATCTTTAATTTTTCTCGTTCCCTCGGTTCGCCAACATTTTCAAGTATTCAAATTACGTTTTGTTGTAGTCACAACTACGGCTCTCTTTGACAAGTAGACTGTATCTAGCTCGATCTGACGTCACATTGGTGTTGAGGGTGAAGAGCATCACTACGTCTTTAAATATAGGCCGCCCTAGGCCTATAGCCTTGGTAGGTTGAACACGTTTTAAAATTGTATAAATCACGATCGGATCCATAATCCGCTGAACGCGTTTAACATCTACCATTTACGAGCAGTTAGTTAAATGAGGAGGAGTCAACTTACAAACGGAATAAACGGCTCGAACGACAAGCTTCCTAATTCACAGACGCGTTTGGAGAGCTTGTCATGTAACAATAGCAAACGTGTTTGGCCCGTTTCTGTCGTTGGGGATCGCGCCTAAATTATTGTAAATTTGATATTTCCAGGACGTTATTTAGATGATTGAGTAGAATGGCATCTTTGCGTACAATGGCTAGAATGTCAACCACATATCTTACCTATTATATGAATATGTGGGCGATGATTGGAGTAACTGGGCTACCCACAGATACAACACAAACCACTGGGGCGGGTGCAAGATTTGACAGAGGGGGTGCGTGAGAGTGTACACCATCTCAGCCCCACCATGGTTGCTGCTGAGGTGGGAACATTTTGAGAATATGGAAATCAAGTTGCCTGAAAATTGCACTCTCATACTTACAAGAACTTTGTCTATGATGATAAAAATAATATATCAACAATACAATACAACAATTATTTTAATACAATTTAGGGAGTGTGGGTGCACCCTCGCATCCTCTGCAACCCCTACATCCGCCCCAAAACCAAATATTAAATGACAAAAGCAGAGGCACTATGGACTTTCAATATCCATGGGATGGCAGAACGTATAAAACTAACACTTGCAAAAACAAAATCGACACGTAGTTGTGAATTATTATATTTTTCTTACAGTATATTGGATCATCAAAAAAAGAATATCAAGTTATTTATACCTATCATCTTATATTTAATATAATGTACCGTATTATATTTGGAATTGCAGTAATGTACAGTACTACCTTCTATTGCCGTGATCAAGAGCGATCCCTGATGGATTTAGTAGTTGAGTGTTTAAAATATCACGTCGATTACCACCATCTCCTAGACTACAGCTCACAACCTTTGTCGTCGGTGACGTCTGCTCAGTCCAAAATATCAATCTAATCAAAGTGTTTTATGAAAAAAAATACATGGTTATTGTGTCGATTCTTATAAAAGAAAGTATCTATTTATGTAATTTAATTTGACATTCTAGGGTTATAAGAAACACATGGAAACAAAATAGTACCATCAAGATTTGAAGTTGTAGAACACTAAGAAACCCATGTACAAATGCAAATGTAAAATAACCACTATATTTATAAGAATATACACAGTGAGTTACATCTGACACTAAGGGTGTGTTTCTACTGATAAACACAAAATAATCGATTTTTTAAACTGCTTTTTTAATGAGTACTAGACAGCCTGCTCGCGTTGCAACTGCATTTTTGATTTTTCGAAAATCGTTTTTTTTTAAATTTATACTAATAATACAACACGTTGTTTTCCTGACTGTATAGGATAGTATCTTTCTCATTTCTGTCATGATGACGAGGAGTAAGATACGGTGTGGGGCGAGAAGGCAAATGTTTTCGGCTGTGGTCATCGGCACAATGAACGAGTGACCAAACGATGACAACGGTAGGCCCAAAAGAGCGGAGAGGCCTAGGCCCAATATCCCCCACAAAATAATTACAAAACGAATTCGTCGCTCCACATGTTTGTTGACGTTTTCAGCTTGTAGGCCTAGGACATGAACAAGAGGACAAATTTTTTTGAAAGTTCGCGCCTAATACGATCTAGTCTTTGCACCTGGAGGTCACATTTCACCTGATAATCGTTTTTTTTTTGTGTTGCAGCTAAAAGGTGCACAACCAAAATCGGTTATTTGCCGTTCAAACACGCTATCCATTGCGTGTTTTTAGTCGATTTTTTTAATCGCTTTTTTCAAACTGGTCCCGTTTCTCCTGCGAGAATAAAAGCGATTTTTCGAAAAAGCGATTTTTAATCGATTATTTCTTTCCAGTAGAAACAGGCCCTAAATCAAGGACAGAAGGGCGTCAAAAATAATTTTGATGCCTTCTCCAACAACTAGGGACGTTAATAATAATTCGTTGTTTAATCAGTGCATTCCACCAGTCTGCGTTCAGAGCCACAAACAATTCAAAAGCATTTTGAATTGTTGAATAAAAAAAATTGTTTTCATACATTATGCACATGAATTCTATGTGTAGGCCTACAGAAGTAGGTAATTTAGTCGAACTATTCATACAATAATAATTGTGTGCGTCTAGGGTTAGTAAGTATAGTTATGATATAGTATTCTTTCAACTTTATTTTTGTCTGTATACATCTGTGTTCATCCTAAGACCGGACTAAAATCCTAAGACTGGACTAATGTTTTTCACACTATAGTTAATCCTAGCCAACTTAGGTTATATATTGTCTTCTTTTCGTTAAATTTCCATTCATTGTATTGTATGTTATTTCATTTGCCGAATAAAGAACGAATGAATGAATGTACTCGCACTACAATATCATAAGTTTTTTTAAGAAGCTCATAACTCAGAACTGGAAGTAACTCAACTCCACGCAACTGGTTGAGCGCGCCGCGCGCATTATTTTCTCCCCATACACTTAAGGCAGAAATTACAGAGGGCGCTATTTTAGGTAAATTAGTGATCTGATAAGCATGAATGTACATACTGAGACTTCAACCTAGCGAAACAGAATTCAGGGTGCGTGTATCTAGTAAGGTATTACGTGGGCGTGGATAACACTATGGAGTAGGCCGAAATCTGTTAAATACGGAAGCACCTAAGTGCCATTCGACTTGACGACTTGTCAAGATAATTTATGTTGTCAAGTCGACATAACATACATATCATGTCGACATGGCAAGATAGATTATCTTGACAAGTTGTCATAGAAAAAATTGTATGTTGTCATGGCGAGATAGATTATATTGACAAGTCGACATAATACATATTGTATGTTGTCATGGCGAGATAGATTATCTTGACAAGTCGACATAATATAAGTTGTATGTTGTCATGGCGAGATAGATTATCTTGACAAGTCGACATAGTAAAAATTGTATGTTGTCATGGCGAAATAGATTATTTTGACAAGTCGACATAGTAAAAGTTGTATGTTGCCATGGCGAGATAGATTATCTTGACAAGTCGACATACTAAAAATGTTTTGTTGTCATGACGAGATAGGTTATCTTGACAAGTCGACAAAATAAAAGTTGTATGCTGTGATGGTGAGATAAATTATCTTGACAAGTCGACATACTAAAAATTTTTTGTTGTCATGACGAGATAGGTGCTTCCGTAGTTAAATAGGCCTTGGTAGTTAAGACACTGTGAAAATTAATGGACATTAATTGTAATAATATCCCTATGACTAGACACAGTTTATGTACAGCATGGTCTTTCAATGCATAACAAAGCACAGTACTGTAATATTGAATCTTGCTATTTGAGTAGGCCTACAATATAGTATCATAGATATGACATGTGTTGTAGCAATTGTATGCCCCATATTATAGTACTGATTCTGAAGGACATGAACGTTTAGAAATGCTTGGAGACAAATTACGCTTTCTCCGGACACACAGTTGCTAACTTACGATTTTACAATTAAACATAGTGGTGTCAATAAAGCAGCATAAAGGTCGAGAAAGTTTAGTTATTCATAAAGTAATAAAGTTACCTTGCATTTGGGTCTACTGCTACAGCTCTTGGCCTAATGAGGTTAAAACACATTGCTTTTTGAGATGTTCCGTCATAGGATGAAATCATTAGAAAATTTTGAAGATAATCAACCCAGTATACTTTAAGCGAAATCCAGTCAACAGCCATACCTAGTGTAAGCAATGTTAAAACTGTATTGTAATCACACCTACTGATATTTCTTTAAAATAATTTAGATTCCTTATGTGCTATTAAAATATAAACAGTAGTGATAATGGGACTTAAGATAACGAAGGCTCTTATGATGGTTTATAGTTCTTTTGTAATAACGTCCGAGGCGCCACAACGTACAACCAATGATATGGGCGCTGGTTCGAACGACACGCTCGCGCATGGTTCTGGTGGTGGACCAATTTGGTTTTGTGTTACGATAGCAATGACGTTATGTAGAATTGTTTGCATTTTGATAGTGGTGGCGCAAGGATTCGTCCAACTGGGTGTCCAAGTCGACGTGGTCAAGCGTCGCTCAACATCTCTAGGAAATTTTCAGAAACTATGACAATTTTGGCGGTTCAAACGCTTATTTAATCTGAAGTCTATTAATATTAAAAACAACATTTTTGAACACCTCCGCTGGTGCCAACCCTGCTTAGTGAAGACGTTAAATTCCCTGCTTATGAAGACGCAATCTCTTATCTCTGACACACAGAAAATAATCTGTCATACCTACAAATACCTATGATCATAAATCACTAATTGTCTAACATAGATGGGTTTTGAAAATTGCTCGGATGCGGAAATAAAATGCAGATTCTTTCAGACATTAGTTTTGAAAGGTGGAGGAGGAGGGCATTTTGTAATGGTTGGAGCTGAGGTGAGAAAATTTGAGGAAATAGTACCTCTAGATGGCCAGAAATGACACTTTTAGTAAAATTCATCATCATCACATCACCATTAGTCAAAATGAAGCGCCAAAAGAAATTCTCATGATCTTTTATCAGGGATTTTTGACAACGATAGAGATCTTATTAATGTGCGTGTATACACAATAGAAAACAAAGCTTAAAAAATTGTCTTTGAGTATGTACTTTACATAGGCCTACTTCAAAAACGTGATTTCACAACCACCTCAGCCCCACCATGGCTGGGGCTGAGGTGAGACAATTTGAGGAAATAGTACCTCCGGAAATGACACTTTTATATAATAAAATTCATCATCATCACATTACCATTATAGTCAAAATGAAACGCCAACAAATTTCTCATGATCTTTTATCAGGAATCTACTTAATATCCAGGACAACGTAGGCCTAATTATAGCTTACTAAGCTTTAACTATATATACTATGATCAACAAATCACAACTATTTTTTTCGCATTTAGCACAATTTCTTCACTTTTTATTGCTTTAATATTATTATCAATTATTACTATCGTCATTATCGTCATTGTTATTATTATTACTATTAGTTGTAGTATTATTAAACAAACATGATCTTTTATCAGGGAATTTTGACAACCATAGAGATCTTATTCTTATTAATGTGTGTGTGATATACCATAGAAAAAAAAAACAGAAAAAAAGCTTAAAAACATTGTCTTTGAGTATGTACTTTACATAGGGGTATTTCAAAAACGTGAAATCACAACCAGCTCAGCCCCACCATGGCTGGGGCTGAGGTGAGAAAATTTGAGGAAATAGACCTCTCGAAATGGCCGGAAATGACACTTTTATATCATCATCACATTACCATTAAGTCAAAATGAAACGCCAACAAATTCCTCATGATCTTTTATCAGGGATCTACTTAATATCCAGGACAACTTAGGCCTAATTATAGCTTAATAAGCTTTATAGCTTAATAAGCTTTAACTATAGATATTATGATCAACAAATCACAACTTTTTCGGCATTTAGCACAATTTTCTTCACTTGTTATTGTTATTAATAATAATATCAATTATTACTCTCGTCATCATCATCATTGTTATTATTATTATTATTTCTATTAGTAGTAGTATTATTAAAGAAACATTTGCAAAAGGATAAAAACGAATTTTTTTTAAATTGAACCACAGTATCGCATTTCTATCATAAAAGACTTGGCCTGAGATTTATGGATTTAAAATTTTTTTTAATCACGCTTAGGCTTATGTGTTCTATTAGGCCTATGTATAACGTGTA